TTAAGGTCGGTCACTTCACGATGAATCCGCTTCAGGGTCATCTACAGGCTCATTTAATGAGAGATTTGCTACAGAAACAAAATTCAAGCTTACAGCTGAGGAAAGTCGGGGCGGCATGGTAGTCGAGGTAGAAGGGGGCGGATGCCGGCACTATTCTTGGATCAGGCGCGTGACTTATTTTATGCGATCACATGATAAGCATGATATTTCCCCATTTGGATAAGAATAAATGTCGCGACGCAAATGGGCTCGAATGCCACAATGGAAAGTATTTACAACACCAATTTTCACCTCTCTTACTTACTTTCAATGTAAACGAATATTACCGAGTGACCGAGTGAAAATTCTTGGCGTGATCGCCGCAGTGCCGTGAGCAGACGAACATTCGAAAGGTTACTCCCAAGTCAATGGTGGGCTTCAAATACTAAGACTGTGCTCAACGACAACTTCAAGCTGCCTCCCTGTTTCCCGCCACTTCAGGGAAGGACGGAGATTGTACATCAGAGGAAAGGAGGGGAAGTACCAGCCTTCGCCCGCTACCCATCGGTTGTTTCCGAACTCTAGTTGATGGGGAACGGGTGCAAATGAAAATGGCGAAAACTGGCGTTACAAATACTTTCTAATGGGACCAGCGAACAAATGACTCTGAGAGGGAATCAATCACTCTTCCATCATTAAACACGTCCGAAATAACCCGAAGTATAGTTTTCTCTCCATGGATACACTACTGTCTATGTGACGCATCGGCACTAGAAGTCTCGACCAAGTACTACTTTGACTTATTATTGAAACTATACCCTGTACCACTGGCTAATTAGACTTAGGCGCTCATATAATCAGCCAGGAGCTTTGAATTAGCTGGGTGCCAGAGTTACTTGCCCTCTTCGGTGCCACAACTAACTACGCCACCTTATGCCCCACTGTTGATGTGAAGCTCGGTTTCAGTTTACCACGGGCTTGTCGAGCTATAGATGCCTTTCGAGGATACTTATCATCCCATCTTCAGATAGCACGCATATCTATGTCCATTGAAAAGTACTAACTCGCTCGACCCAGAGAACTAAGGAAGTAGAAGGTGTGGAAATATCCACGAAAAGATGGTACTGATACATTATTATCCGACTGCAGTCCAGGATTGATCCATGTACTTGGGTAGTAGTACAATGACAGGAAGCAACAGATAAACCTGAGTTGCAACGCCCCTGACGAACGAATGTCCATAATTAACGATATAGAAATCACGCTAACTTGATGCCGCATCGCGAGCAAACCACCTCTTTATCAAAGCTGAGTTCGGTTGAGTTGAAAATGGATTTGAGAAAGAGTTGTTACGAAACCACTCACAGCAAGAAAATAAGGCCAATAGGGAACAGTGCCTAAGGCAAACATGAGCGTCGACAACATATCTATTTATGACACTCACAATTGAGGCGATTTGTCCACACACACCGAACTTTGTCTGCCGTTGGTGTTTTCCTTCCGCGCACAATGCGAACTCTGTGATACTTGTCAGCCTTTGAGAGCAAATCCTTGAACAAAAAAAACACGTACGAGCAGACCTATATTGCTCGCCGATCTGAGCAGCAGTCAGTGCCTGCACTGGTGGCTGGACAAATATAGGCGCTTGAGGTGGCAACAGAGGCTGCGGTGTGTTGGGGTCCACTGGATATACTGCAGGAGCAACAAAAGGCATAGGCGCTGGCATTTGCTGGGCCTTTTCCGACATTATTATGACACTGGGTTCGGTGTTAGGTTGAAGAAAGTTGGGAGACAAATGAAGCAATATTTGAGCACACCTGTCCGTGTAAGTATTTAAGAGATGGCAACGGTTTGGTTGGCTTTGTCCAAGAGATCTTCGTCACCCTGTTTTATTAGATGTTATATTTAATGGGTGACATTTTTGAGTTGTCCCTTCCCACTTGGTAGCGGTAGATGGTAGATGGTAGATTTAACCGGCACGCGGTGTCTCCGCGAACTACGCAAACTTGATGTGCCTTGCGGCGCTCGTGTTCACATGTTCACTTCACACATCAGACATAATCCAGATATGTCTGATTTCTGCCAAATCTCTGCTCGAGGTTGCCACGATCTCGAATTTGGGGTCACGTCGATGGTCAGGTTGGCTTTAGTAGGACAACGCTGTCCGACTCGATCGTATATCAGTCACGATAAGCCAAAACAATCAAGGGTTCGAAGTTTACCAATATATATGTATATATACCGTACAGGAAGCGCAGTTCAATATAACTTCTTGGCCACTTGACGACGCTCCACGAAGATGCTGAGATACTTGAAGAATGGCCCCAGAGCTCAGTCAACGTCGGCCGTCAACGCGTCAAGCGGCTTGAGTATGTGTCAATCTCGCGATTGGAAGACAATGTCATATATTCAAAGATCCACGTAATACTGTGTATAAAACGAGGTCAGAATTCTCATCATGGGAATCATTTTCTTTTCGCCAGGAAATATTGAATGCCCTTAAGTGAGAGTCGGCACAGTCCAGTCGATGTAGTTCGCGTCGACGAAACCGAGGTTGTTGGCACCATCGGTCTTGATAATGTTGGTGTTGGTGCTCTGTCCCTTCAAGAACTTGTTGACGAACGCGTCGAGGTCGCCCTGCTCGCTCGAGGGGAACGCGCAATGATTGTGGTTGCCCACCTGGGACACGCCCATCGAGTCCGCCACTCCCAACGCCTTCCAGATGGAGTTCGCCGTCTTCTGGCATCCCCATACACTGCGCGGGCCAAGCCAGTCGATGCCGGTATTGTCGATGATCAGGAGGGCTCGGGGAGCAACGAGCGCGGAGAGCATGTGGTGGTCGAAAGGAAGGACGCGGACTTGGGTTGAGTAGGTGTTGAAGAGGGGGGAGAACCAGACGTTCTCGCCGACGATCTCGGAAGCAGTCTGTGTCGAGATGCCACCAGCGAGCATGTCGTCGGAAATGCGCCAGCAGCCCGCACCACCGGAACCTGACTCCTGAGGAATCGTGAGAGCAATACGTGTGTCGAAGGCACCTGCAACGAGCGCGCCCTTTCCATTGCGCGAGCAACCTGTGACACCGATACGTTGGAGGTTAATGTTGGCGCTGGGCGTAATCTCCAGGGCGTCGATGATACGCGAGACACCCCAAGCCCATGCCGTCATGGCACCAGCCGAGTGACCAGAGCCATAGATCGTGTAGAATTTGCCCTTGCCACGACTGCTACCGTCTGTCTGGGCGGCAATATCATCGTTGTTGAAGGTGATGACAGCGACGCCAGCTGGAGTGGGGATGCTCAGGCCGCCGTAAGCAATGAGGGCGGGATAGGGAGCAGTAGCTCCGGAAGGAGTTGTAATGGTAACGGTGAAAGAGATGGATTTTCCAGAGTCAGAGACGTTGATGGTGAGAGTTTTTCCGGAAAGGGAGGCGGTAACGGACTGGGGCTTGGGAGGTAACGTCCCGAGCTCATAGCGCTGGAAGAGCTGGAAGATCTCATCGCGGCGGCAGTCCCAGTCAGCTTTTGTGGTGACCCGGGCTCCACTAATAAACTTGAACGGGTCAGGCAACTTGGCGTTTGTAGTCAATGAAATGCTGCTAGGGAGAGGGGTGCAGCCAGTTCCAGTAGGAACGCTTGTGGCGGTGGTGGTAAGCGTCCCAGTGGGAGTTGTAGTAGGCGCCGTGGTGGGGGTGATAGTCGGGGTGGTAGCTGTCGTCGCAGTGCCAGGAAGGCATTGGAAATAGTAGTCATTCAGATGAGTGCAAGTAGTGCCTGAGGCGCAGGTCGTGCCACCAGTCCAGCCAATGCCTCCACCTGAACAAAATCAATCAGCGAGATGAACAAAGGATACGTTTTCAAGAATTAAATACATTGGGCATAGATTGGTTGCTGAGCGAGTGCCGGTAGGACTACTGCGAAGGCGGCGAGGTAAAGTTTGAGTGCCATGACCGGTGGGAACTGCGAGAGCGCAAAGCGGTGAGTTTGACTTGAGAAAAGACATCCCTTTTATACAAGAATAGCAGAGAAGCAGAGGTAAGTAAAGGTCGCGGTCCGGCCTTGGAAGACCCTTGGAAGGTACTGTGAACGTCACATGTATGATGGGCGCCATTTATGAAAACGATTGATTGAGCGGTTAACCCGATGTTTCTTGAAGTGGGGCGCACTTACCCCACATATTCCACTGTTCCGAGAGCGCCTGGGGTTGAAATAGGCTTATTTGACTTTTCTAGGGAATATCAAATGGTCTATTTCCCGTGATCCTCGATGACGCGTGACGAGTGATCCCGAGAACATCATTAACTTCTTGGAGCCGTCGAGTTTCAATTGGGAGCCAAAAAACCAAGAGCCACCGCCGAGATTGAAGCGAGAACATCGGTGAACCACACGTTCGATTGCCACAAAAAATTGAAAAGCACGCCGAAATACTTCCAGAATTTGACCTTCGTGATTGTTGCATGGCTTGGCACGGACTTTTGAACACTAGGGTGAATCACCAGACAAGAGTTAGTCTTCGTGTCACTCACCGTGCGACTTTAGGCTCGTCCCCATCCGGCTTCACCTCACATGACCACTCGCGGAACTCGTTAGAGGCGAAGCCTTAAACTTTCTCTCTGTCTCGTCACATGTTCGGAGGATTATATAATCAAAAACAAACATATGTGATAGAGAGAGCTTGCGAGTGTGACTGGTTAACGAGTCTAGTGCGACTTTATCAACTTCTTTTTGGAGCCGTCAAAGGCTGTCGAATGTGTGTGTGTACAGTCGGAATGAAACCACGGGGCGGGAACGGCCCGTCTTGTCCTGTATCTGATTCCACTCACAGTTCGGATTCATCACGGAATGACCAAAAGGCTCACAAGTCATAGTGGTGTCATAGTCAAAGCTGCTTCGGGGTACTGAAAGAACGGAAGCTGGAACACAAAGAACATGGTTGCTTGGCCTTGGTTTGGGCCAGACCAGAGTTTGTCCGGGGTTGAATCTGGTGTTAACTTGAGCCAAAAAGACAGCCGTAAAGGCTGAACATGAGTCGACCCAGGCTCGAACTGAGGACCTCCTGTGTGCACATTACGAATGTGAGACAGATGCGATAACCAACTACGCCATCGACCCATGAATGGATGCGACGGAATATCTCTTCCGGAGCGCCACAAAATCAACGGAATAAGGAGCAAAATCAAGTCGACCCAGGGAACTTCTGTGATTACACCGATCATAACCGATGTATGATGTTAGGCAGATGCGATAACCAGCTACACCATCAACCCGGCAATGTGGCGTCGATTCTGTTCGAAACTGAAACGAGGGAGTCAAATGAGCAGATAGCCACACAGTTCGTATTCAAGCATACGAAGTGAAGAAGGTATATCGATCCAGTAAGCTCATGGCGATGTCTCCCCCTTCAGGCTCTGCCAGACTCTTTCCGCAACGCTCGCCATGGCTCCTACCCACTCTTCGCTGCCCCTCCCATCCTCCGCCTCCCGCTTGCGCTTCTCAACAAGCCCATATGGAACGCCTCTATCGCCGGCAGCTGACACGCCCGGGACGAGTGGGAGTTCCGCGAGGATGGGTATGTCGAGGCGGCTCGCGGTCGCTCGGAAGCGGTCGGGTGGGCCGAAGAGATACTGAGGTTGTGCGTGAGGTGAGGAGGGCGAAGAGGAGCAGGTGGGGCAGAGGTAGTGAGAGCTGTTCAGCACGAGCCCGGTTATCTGTTGGAGTGGTGGTCAGGGGTGATTCAAACCGAAACAAGGGTGGGCATCCTCACTGGCACCGAGACTTTACGAAGCATGGCTATTCCTTTCTGCACGTCCGCAAGAGCGACGTTTTGCGGCGTCGACACGATTACAGCACCTGTTACTCTTGATTGAGCGCAACGACACCACCGTTACAAAGGTAACACACCATCAACCTTGACCAACTGGCCCAAGGTCAGAGGAACGTCTCCCGTGCCTGGTGGCATGTCCACCACAAGGACGTCTAATGCCCCGCCACTTTGTCCAAGGGACCAGTCAACGTCAAACAAGAGTTGTTGCACTGCCTTTTGCACCATGAGGCCACGCCAGACAACGGGTGTGTCATCTGTGGAGCCTGTATCTGCAGAGCGCGGAAGTAGGTACCCCATAGACATCGTTGGGAGTCCATGATTTACGAGAGGACGAAGAGCACCAGCTGAACATGTATGAGATGCAGAGTTGGGTCTACGGTTGGGGAAAAATACATACCTTCAGTCAACTCTGGCTCGCCACTATTTTGTAGGCCCATCAACGTGGGCACAGAGGGTCCAAATATATCAAGGTCTAGTACACCAACGCGTAACCTGGCAGATGTGATAGGGTTCTGCAATGTGGATAGGCTGAACGCGAGATTTACTGTGCGGCTTCCATGATGAGCTTCTTACGTCGACAAGACGCGTCTATAGCACACACACACCTGCAATTGTACTCTTTCCCACTCCACCCTTGCCACTGGCAACGGCCAGGACCTTACGCACGTTCGGAATGCCCCGCTTCACGATCGGTCCACCTCGTCGTGGCATTTGAGGCGGTACCCCGCGCTGTGGGAGGCCCTGAGAAAGCATCAATGGATGAACACCCCCGCCAAAATATGCAATATGACTTACGAGGGGATTTTCATGACGCACAACTGACGTTGTGCTGAACAGGCGTTGACGAGATTGGTGGCGAATCATACTACAGGTACGGCCAACGTACGACCAAGCAGGTGCAAATATGAGTAATTTCTTCATGCTCCCCGCCTTGTGTAATCTCCATATGTTCTCGATATCTCTCATAGTGCCTAGTATGGTCACCAGTAGCTGAGTTCAAATTCGAACACACCCCCGAGGGCCGAAAGGAAACGAGCTACGGATGACTCGATTAATGTGATTTGCATGCGCAATGAGGGAACTATAACTCTATTATTTGGCACGCGCCTCGCGAGGAAGCAAGACGCTATATAAACACTGCGACTTGGGCATCATCTCTCCCCACTTTGTTACCGGATGCTTCAGCAACCTCAATGCAAGGTCTCTCCAGACTCCACCTCGTCTTAGAAGTCCGGCGCCTCCCATGAGCGTGAATGCTCTTTCAGTCGTCCTCCCACCGAAAGGCCAGCGTATGAAGGCAATTTCTGGGCGCCCATCAATCACATATCCAACGAGATTCTCCGCGATATATTCCTCCCCGGTCACGCAGGAGATAAGATGTAAAGTTCGTCGTGGCTTTGGCTTTGCCCGTTCCACTGTCTGTTTGCGTCGCTTCTCGTTTTCAGGCGCGGGCCCATTATTCGTCGGAGAAGTCGTTGAAACCACCACGTTGCTGGGCAGAGAATATGGCACCAAAGACGTCCCGGACTTCGGTTTCAGTATATTCTGGACCTGTGAGGATGGGCGTGGCAGTGGATGGGCGTCAAATAGGAGGAGGTTGGACAAACACGCAACTTCAAGTTGAACACCCCAATGGGTCCCAACACCCAAATGGGTACCACGCACCCACGTCAGACAAGTTGAAAACCAAAGATTAGATTTAGGCGAGTCGTCCAACAACCCATTTGCGTCATCCAACAACAACACCTCTTCGTTCAACAGCGGTTCTTACGGCTCTTCTAACAACTCTTCATCCAACAATGATTCCTACGGTTCTTACAACAACAACAATTCTTCAGTCCTATGATTCTTTCAACAACGACTCTTCATCCAATAATGATTTATATGATTCCTTCAACAACAACTCATCGAATGATTGGGTCAACAAGGGTGACAAGCACTGGATACGACCTTGTATGTTGTCTGCCCTATCCTATCCTATCCGTTTTTAGCTAATGCAGGTTCGCTATCTAGTATGCTACCAAGATCGGCGATGGTTTGAAGGAGGAACTGTGGAGGAGGATGTAAGTCGCATTTCACCTTACTATCCTTTTGGGACAATTGCTGATTGTCTTTATTCAGTCGTTAACTAGTTGTCATTCATTCACTATCGCTATATCACAGAACAAATGTAACATCACCTTCGCTTTGTATGACCAGACGCGCTTCATTCTCGATGGCTCCACGCTATATTGAGCAATCCGATTCTTGGGTCTACTCTGAATGAATGACTCGAACAACTCAGGCATTTATTCTACACCGACGTGAATTTCAATGAGCGAAACGGCAGATTACATCGCAGAATCGTGGTCCACAGATTCTTCGTGACTTAGGAGCAGACATAAATGTGATTGACGTTTTTTAGACTATCCTCTTGAAACAAAGAATATCAAATACGAAAGCAGTGATAGTTACGCAACTTTCGAGGTGAGGTCTCAGATGACACCAGTCCTTGTTTCCACCAGATCGACGGTGCAGTGCTGTGTATAGGCACATACTACTTTGTGACAACCTCGATCACAGACTCTAGGGCGACAAGACCCCCAACCAGAGCCGTTGTGTTCGGAAGACTTTTTCTACCACGTCCACCGATGGAGGGACGTTTACTTTGAACTGAATGCTCAGACGTTTCGACGTATCATTGACGCCCTCGCGAGGAAGAGTGCTCCGAAGTCTCTCAAGCGACTTCTACTTAAGATGCATCCCCCTCCTGGTCACTGGGCGGGTAGGAATGCCTTCGAACAGATCGAGACATTTATAAACACAACCTCTTCCTCGTTTTGGCCGCCCGCCCCGAAGCTATTCATCTAGCTCGAGTCTGGTCGGTGATTCCACTTGTACAAGGAACTTCGGGTCTATAAACATCTTCTCACTCAACCGGCTCCAACCTGGCCGTCACTTATAGAGCTCAACATTCTCGCTTTTCTCGATCATGATGCAGGGCAATGCTTCACTTTTCTCCAATGCTGCCCACAAATCGAAGTGTCCGCCTTTAAGTTTGCCAGCTTGGGTGACCCGTCGATGCTGCCTCCAACGAGTCTTTCCACGCCTCTTGTACTCTCCAGACTTCGGTCGCTTTCCATTGGGAGAGTACTAGGTTTCGGCGATGACCCTGGACCTCTGCTTGCTTGCCTTTCTTTACCTGCCCTCCCTCGTCAGTCCCGAAATACCTCCCGTGGAGGATCTTTCCATCCTCGATGATCTCCATCTACGCTCAGGTTCCAAGCTACAGAACTTCAGTCTAGTCTGTTAGGCTCCTAGGTTGGCCTTACTTTCAAGATGTGACCTCGATTACTATACGGTTCGCGATCGGCGATGCCATTCAAGTGTCGGATCTAATGTGGGATATAAAGGCCCTAGTCCTTCCAAATCTATCGAAAATTATGGTCAAGGGCTCTGGCTTGCCCTGGGAGGCTGCGGCCTTCAAAAAATTTGCTACTCAAAACTTTCGTTCCCGTTGTTGCGGCCTTGGAGGAGAGCGACCACCCACTGTATTGAAGACAATTGTCGTTTGGCCTTCCATTGAGAATCTTCCGCGTCCTCATTACTATTGTTATCTACCTCATGCCTATCGGCACGGGAAGGTGTACACGGAACTGAAGTGGGCCACGTGTTATACAAGCCATCCATTGGCGCATGCACAATTTGGCCGTGTCTCCCAAGCCTGATGTATCACTGTGCGGACACTCACTCGCAGGCCCTACTCCTATACCTGCTACTCCTATAATCCCGCCCCGGGACTCGGAGCCAGAGCCAGAGCTGAAAGGTCTATCTCGTGTCTCTAACGGGCTTTCGAGGGTAGTTTACTTCCTGTGTGGGATCACTTTGCTCGAGGCTGATACTCGATGAAAGTTTAGATTACTATATTATGCCTTCCCTTTGACATCTCCTTTTGTGGCAAATGTTCCCCTTCTGCAGCTTGGTGCTGTTTCTCGTTCTCACTCGTTACTATAGTTGAAGAAGTGGCCTATACATCTGAGAATGTGGGCCAAAAGCCAGCATGAGTCGATCTATGGCTAGTACTTGATGATCATGAGGAGCGATAGCGTTTGCGAAGCACACTGTATAAATTTACACACACACATACACCCTGTTAAACTACAAACATCGGAAATACAACAGAAGAAGATATACGCCATCTCGATGTGAGATTTTTGGACATACATACGAAAGTGAACCAAAGAGTAAACGAAAGAAACCTCTACAATCACATTAACGCGAACCCCCCAAAGTCCAAAAACGCCTCATC